ATCAAGGACAATTTTGGAGAATAATGTATAACAAAGTGGAAAAAGTTTTCGTGTGATGTGTTTCGTCCCTAACACTTCATCAGACTGTTCGTTTACGTTGACGCGACTACACATGCGCACAAACAAAAGACAGTGGGAATTTAAAAAATTTTTAAACATAATTTTTTAATGTATTTCGGATTGATAATCTAGGGAATTTCATTTAGATTCTTTTTTATTTTATTTCCATTATCTTTGTTATTAACAGACATTGTGACAACAGAAAATCTGCCAAGAATGGTGAAAAGTTATGAGAACCTGGACGTAAACTTACTGTGTCTGAACTAGCGATTAAAGTACTTTCGTTTTAGTGAATTATTTTCTCTTTTAATTAGAGTCGCATTTTTTATGCCAAAATTGTTTTCATTCCCGTGACGTTGAGCAACTAATGCGTTTAATGTGTTGTATTTTTTTAATGTTACTTTTCTGTGCATATAATTTTTTTTATTTAAACTTCTCCAGATTGGTTTCGCCAATATATTCTTCCTGGCAATCCTTACAGGTGATAGAGTAAATTCCCCCTTGAAGATTTTGCTTGTTATGTCGTTTTGTTTTGTATTAATTTTTTTTTTTTTTTACTATTTAGAGGTAGTTTTAACAAATTTTATGTTGAGTTTAGATAAATTATTTTCAGTTATAGTCAAAGGGAAGTAGGATCGTCATAATGAATAAGAACTCATACGATGAACAAAAATTAATTCAGTACTAAACGATATCGGAACATATGAAAAACGAACAAAAAATAATTATTGAAATACAAAAATTTGACAAAGCAATTAGGAAACTAATTAAAAAAAATTAAGATACATTATGGTATAGACTAATAGAATATTAGCTTAGAATACCCAAACTTTAAAACAGTTATCTCAATGCACCCCATTATTTCAGGTATTGACAACACTCCTCGTGACTCCTGTGATCCATCAGGGTTGTGGGGGCACCACATATACTGCAGATGCAGTAGAATAAGTGTTTCTTGGAAGATAGCCTGACGAAGCCCAACCCTCTCCAGGCTGGTATTTGAATTCAGAGTTACCGTCTCCTAGAAAGGTTTGCACACAAGGCGATAGAACACCGTCTGTCCTGCTATTTACCCATAGTTGGTGGGAGAAGAGGATTCATAAGCTTTCCCCAAGGGTATTAGCACGTAGGTGAGTGTGATCGATCCGAATTTTGAACTCGGCTCTCCGATTCCTCAAGTAGCGTCCATTACTCCACTGAACCTCCTAACAGCGCTCACCACAAACTGGCAAAAGCCATAACAAAAATGTTAACCTCTCTCCTTGAAAAAACCAGTCCATCACATATAAAAAAAATACATGCAACCAAATTGGACTGACAAACTCATGGTCAGTCTAGATATAAAATCACTTTACACTAACGTCTCGGTTGAAAAATACTTAAATATCTTAAAAAAGCATCTAACACAATCAAAGATAAACCTCTCCATACCAGCTGATAAAATAATGAAATTCTGCCTTTTCATCAGTAACAAATGCTATTTCAAATTTAATAATAATTTTTATAAACAAAAATTAGGATTACCAATGAGATCGCCTCTCACAGGAGTGATGGTAGGTATTTTCTTAGAATTTCTCGAAACTGGTCTTTTCTAAAATATTTTACTTAAACAATCAGCATACCTCCGATATATTGATGATGCTCTATTGATATATGTCCGATTAACCTGATCTTGTAGATAAATTTAAAAAAAGTCGAGCATACAATAGAATTTACATACGAAATGGAAGAAAACAGTGCTATGTCTTTCCGAGACATCATTTTACAGCACATTAACAGCAACTTAAAACTTAGTGTCCACCAAAAATGACCTAGTAAACTTCTATTCCCATCAAAAATATAAAATCCAGAAAAATCATCGCATTCTACTTAAGAGCATTCCGAATTTTCAACCGTCGATATTTATAAGAAGAGGAGAAATACATTGAAAACACTTTCAAGGCCCTCCAATATCATAATTATTTCAAACACAATGCGAAACAAAGGGCTCATGAAATATTCCAAAATAGAAAAACGGCACCTCCTGCCAAACCAAAGGATAATAAAAAATATATTGTTCTACTGTAGCAGAAAAAACACAGAGTTAGAAATAACAAATTAAAGCCAAGTTTATACAATTATCAAAAAAACATATCTCTAACTACCTACCAATTTTCGTCGAGCTAAGATACATTCCTGGCGCAATCTACAAATTTTAAAATAAACGCAAATATACCATTATTGACGCGACTCTTGCTTGCTCCAGATTCCTACGACTACGTCCGTGAGTTTCCCTTCTCAAGAATATAAAAGCCGAACAGAGGAAAGAACAAACAGAGAGGCAGCAGAGAGAGAATTCACACACACACATTAACCATAGAAGCAACCTGAGAGCACTGCTGATTGCCCATCTGACCACTAGGCTGTGAAAACGACCTCGTGTGAACATAGAAAAAGAACGGATTCGACTATCTACGCGACAAGCCTAAACCGATATCCAACAATCATTTTTTAATCATACGTCTTTTCACGGTTTCATTTCACACCTCATACACCGTACATTCGAACCCTATACCATACGACTTAGCAGAGACTTTTTTATATCTTGTAAATAAAAATAAATTCTTGGTCATTTCTCCAAACCAGCGTCTAATTTGTTTCTTTATTCCAACCAATTTCCACCAATTCTGTTGAAGCTACAATTGAAAAGATTTTATCTAAACGCAACATAAAATATGTCACAAATACGTCTAAAACAATAAAAGACTCAATCAATACAAAACAAAACAACAAGCTAAAATTTGAAGGAGGAATTCACTCTATCACCTGTAAGGATTGCCATAAAGAATATATTGGAGAAACATCAAGAAGTTTAAATAAAAGATTATATGAACAGAAAGGGAACATTTTAAAAAACAACGCATTAAATGTATGGCTGCTCAATTTAATGAGACTGAACATAATTTTAACATAAAAAAATGCTACTCTAATTAAATAAGATAAATTTCACTAAGACGAAATTAATTGCTAGTTCAGCCACAGTAAATTTGTGTCCAGGTACTTTCACTGTTCTTGGCAGGTCTTCTGTGAGATATTTAATGACAAAGATGACGGAAATAAAAAGAATTCAAGTGAAATTGGCTAGATTATAGACCTATAACACACACACACACACACACACGTGTCTCTCGTTTGTGCGCATGTGTATTCGCATCAACGTTAACAAGCCTAGTCCGATGAAGTTCTGAAGGCTGAAATGCGTCACATGAAATTTTTTTTCCCACTTTTATATATACACGGTGTACCAAAAATATTTTTACAAACTTTGGGGACGGGTTCCTCACATCAAAACAAGGACAAAAGTCCATATCAATATATATCCGCAAATCCTTCCATTTTGAGTAATCAAGTTTGAAAAAAGGTTACGATATATGACTCTCTGTTGTCATATAGACTAGATTATATTTGTTATTCGTGTATTTTGTGGCTAGTCTGTCTTCTACGTTTAACACGTGTAGTAAGGATTTAACTGAGAAGTGTTCCGTTTAACAATGGCTGAATATTCATATCGTAAACAGGCAGATATGATATTTACATACGGTCACGAACATGAGGCTGCAGATTGCATTTCCAGACCAAAGGAAGCCGAGTCATCGAACTTATGCTGCTGTTTATCTTTGCGTTACTGACACAGGATCTGTAGCACCAAAAGCCTATATTGAGGAAGACCGAGATCCGGCCATACGCCTGACCACGAACAACATATTCTACAGACTGTCGAAGACGATCCAGGTAACAGCACATGTCAAATAGCCCTAGCTTGTCGTACATTTCATAGTATCAAATGGTGGGTACTTCAAGTTCAACCCTGTATCAGTATCATTTGCAATGTGTGCAGGGTCTTTTTCCCTTTTATTACTCGCCAGTGGACAACTCTTGCCGATGGTTTATTGTACAAACTACCAATCCGTTGTTTGTCTCTTCGGTCTTGTTTACAGACGAGGCAATATTTGGAAAAGATGGAATAACAAATTTACACAATCAACATTTGTGGGCGGATCAGAATCCTCATGTTACAAAACTTGGTTAGACACCAGCATCAGTTTACAATTAATGTGTGGGCTGGAATTGTAGGTGACTGTCTGGTAGGTCCATATGTTCTCCCAGCACGTCTTACACGAGTTTATACAGGGACTTTATTTCGAACATACTTCCAGACCTGCTAGATGATGTACCCCTGCTAAAACGAAGACGCATGTGGTTCATGCATGATGAGGCTTCAGTACATTTTAGTTACATTGTTCGCGATGCTCTGGCTGACATATACCATGAAAGATGGATAAATGGGATTTATTTCTATTAAATCATTTTTTTCTGTTTTCTATGCATATTTAGGTATTATGCATCTGTGTACAGTTAATTATATGAAAAGTATGTTTATTCATTAGTTGAAAATGCGTCAAATTAAAAATTTGTACGTGTACGAATATTTGTTTACCCTCACTATATGTATATATATATATATATATATATTCCTACATCTAAAGTGAAGGTAACTTCATCCTATCCCCTCTCTGTATCTGTATAGCTTTTTATCATCTTCTACTGTTTCTCTTTCTTTCTCTCACGAGCACACACTCACTCTCTTCCTCTCACGAGCACACACTCACTCTCTTCCTCTCACGAGCACACACTCACTCTCTTCCTCTCACGAGCACACACTCACTCTCTTCCTCTCACGAGCACACACTCACTCTCTTTCTCCTTCACCGGTCTTCTTCCTCTCACACACACACACTCACTCTCTTCCTCTCACGAGCACACACTCACTCTCTCCCTCTTTCCCTCTCCTTTTATTGTAAAAAAATTAAAAAAGACGCATGAATTATTGTTATTTAGCAAGGATTCATTTGAAAAATATTTCGCGTTGCCATCATAAAAACAATTTATATGGATATTAAATGAGAGAGAATCTATCCTTTTCTCTCTCGTAAGCAATTTCAGTTTATTAGTCATGCTTATTAGGATTTAGTAAACGTAGGTGAGATGTGGCACGAAGCTGTAAGTATGGAGCACACAGTGAGGATCGAAGTCCCTACTCAGAACTGATGTAGCGAGACATACCTGCTCAGCATTAAACCATTTCAAAGTAGCCGTATTGTTTATTCATATCATTCGTTTCCGAACTATTTCATTCTACTTCTCCCTCATTTTCCATATCTATCTTTTCTTCACTGTCTTTGTACATTTTTCTGTCTTTCCATTTCTCTTTGTGACTTTCTTTTTCTTTATCCCTATTTTTTTTCTTTCTTTCTTCCTTCCTTCCTCCCTTCCTTTCTTTTTCCTTCCTTTCTTTTTTCCTTCCTTCCTTTCTTTCTTTCTTTTTTCCTTCCTTCCTTTCTTTCTTTCTTCCTTTCTTCCTTCCTTTCTTCCTTTCCTTCCTTCCTTCCTTCCTTCCTTCCTTTCTTTCCTCCGTCCTTTCTGTCCTTCCTACCTCATTCCTCCCTCTATCCCTCCCTTTCTTCCTTCCGTCCGTCCTCCCTCTATCTCTCCCTTTCTTTCTTCCTTCCTTCCTTCCGTCCTCCCTCCCTCCCTTTCTTCCTTCCTTCCTTCCGTCCTCCCTCCCTCCCTTTCTTCCTTCCGTCCGTCCGTCCTCTCTCCCTCCCTTTCTTCCTCCCCACCCCCGCTTTCCTTTCTTTCTTTCTTCATACCCACTTCCTTCTTTCCTCATAATGTCTTCCGGCCTTCTTTCTTTCATTACTTCCTATTAAATTCTTTGCTTCTTTCTTTCCTCATGCAATCTTATTTCTTTTCTTTCTTTCTTTCTTTTTTTTTACTTACACTACCTTCCTTCCTTAATACTTTCTTGCCTTCTTTCTTTTTTTCTTCATAATACCTTCTTGCCGTCTTTCTTTCTTCCTTCATAATAGCTTTCCACCTTCTTTCTTTCTTTCTTTCTTCATACTACTTTTCTGCCTTCTCTTTTTCTTCGTGCTAACTTTATACCTTCTTTCCTTCCTTCATACTACTTTGTTTTCACGCTTCTTTTCTTTACTCATAATACCTTCCTATCTTCCTTCTTTCTTTCCTGTACCCATGCCGTCCTTCTTTCCTTACTTTATACTTATTTCTTATTCTATAATCTCCTCTTCTCAACATTTCCTTCCTCCTATTTTCCACATTTCCTCTCTTATCCAGTTCTCATTATTTTTTTATTTTTTCAGTCTTTCTATTTTTGCTTTATTCCATTTAGCAGATAACAGAAAAAAAATCAACGAAACATGAAAATCAATTTTCAATCAAACCAATAACTTATACAGTTTCCTCGTTTCTCTATATATTTTATAAATCTTTTCAACATGGCTAGCCTTTCACAAAATGCTCTCTGCGTTTGTTTAGGGTTAAGCGGAATTCTAGAAATATTTAATGTTGCCGTTTGAAATATTTTCAAGTTTTATTGATTTAATGGTCCAGCAAACTTTTCTATTGAATTAGTTTAACCATTGAGGTTTTGTTATGCTTTTAAAATCTTTTGTATCCAGTTTTTTTTTTTTATCGTTTAAATTTTTTCCAATGAAGAGAATGATCCATTTGAATGAAAACGGACAAACAAATTAAATAAAGTAAAAAAAATGAAATGCGTACGGGATGACGGACGGTATCTCTTTTAAGTTTCCTGATATTTTTCCCGTTTTCTGTCGATCGAGGGTTTTTGAAGGCGCCATTTTCACTGAAGCCGCTCGTTTTATTCGTAAGCACCTACAAGATTTTTTTTTAATGGATTACACAAAAAGTATTAATAATATAGCGTTTAGATTTGAACGAAAAACTTCTAACGGAACAAAGAGAATATTTTTTAAGAAGAAAAAAATGTGTTTTCTTTTTCATTCGTCTGTTTTTTTTGGGTTTTTTTTTATCTGCTTTGTTCACTTGAGTGTTTGTACGCGTGTTGAGATGAGGGCACAAAATGTTTCTCTTTTTCTTTCTCGGTCTTGATGCGTTTCGTTCCTTCTGTCTCTTCCAGCTGCGTCATCTGTCTTTTTTTCTTTTTTTTTTTTTTTTTTTTTGAGTCTGTTTCTGATTTATTTGTCACCCAAAAGCAGGTGTTCTACCTGCTGTAGCATCCCAGTGATGGAAACGGCACTATCTTCTCTTGGTAGTACGGACAGTGATCATCGAGAAAGAAGAGGAGGATTTTCTACAGAGAAGGCAATGCAATAAAAGAGGGAGAGGAAAAGATAGAGGAAAACTCACGAAAGTAAGAAAGAAAAATGGTCCCAATAGAAATAAATATATATTTTTTTTAAAGTAAATACAATACAGTATAAAAGAGAAAACATGAAGAACTCATGTAAAGAAGAAAAATTAATTAAATAAGTGTGGTACAAATAAAAATAAATAAAGAAGAGTAGGAAAGATAAAACAAAGTAAAAGAGAGAAAAGAGAAGACAGGAAAACTAAACAAAAAAAGTAAAAAAATTTAATATAACCGATACAAATAGAAAAAAATGGTTGAAAGAGTCGTTAAAGTGAATTAATTAAAAAGTGGTTAAAAGATTTAAAAAAAAAAAAAAGGAAAAGAAAGGTAAATTAAAAAGAAAGATTTAAACGTAGACTTTACGTACGTAAAGGTACAATGTACCTAAAGAAAATAAATTTAAAAAAAAAAGAGACCGGTTCCTGTACGATCACCGAAGTTAAGCAACGTCGAGCCTTGCCAGTACCGAGATGGTTGACAGCTTGTTAATACCAACTGCTGTAAGCTTGAATGGATGTGCGAGTGGTGCAATGGATAACCACTCGGAATTGTTAATCAGACAGCCGAGTTCAAATTCCAGACGTGTTTGTTTTATTCACTTACGCGCAAATACACTTAGGAAAGGCATGAATCCACCTCTTCTTCCCTAATTATGGGTTAATTAGCAAAACTTGTATCGCTAAAACCATTATCTCATAAATAAATAAATTTGCGTGCAAAATATTTAGAGTTCGACATTATAGAGGTGTTGATATGTTGTTAAACAAAATATAGACAGAAGAAAGTCGGTGTAGGAGCGATATAGATGATGGAAAAGAAAAAAAATATGGAAAAAAAAAAGGAAAGGTGCGAATTGAAACATGGAAATAATGTTTTTCCTTATTTTAAGTATTGGCATTAAATGAGAAAATATTGACAGGGAGAATGGACTAAAGCTGAACAGAAAAGAAATTGGCAAAAGGACTAATGAGAAAGGGTTTTCTTTAATCCTTTCACCCCAAACAAGGCAATAAAGTCACTAAGATGCAAGGGTGCAATTGAATGTTAGAGTGTATGAGAAATAAAAAAGAAAAGAAAAATACTATTAAGGAGAGAGAATAGGAAACAGGTTATAAAAGAAAGAAAGAAAGTGAGATTTATGTAACAAAGTTCTTTTGTGTGAGTGTGATAGAGAGAGAAACAGAGAGGGGGAGAGAGACAAAAAGAAATGTAGAGAGGGAGAAAAATGTGGCAAACGTTGATAATGGTATTATTAACTATTTCCTTACGAGGAAATATTGATCGTGCAGCTAGTATTGAAAGTTACAGAATCTTACTCTTAAAAACTTTTTTCGGAAAAATAGGTTTCTAAAGCGAACTGCTATTGCTTTTTTCAGTTTTGATGGGAGTTTCAATCCTAACCTTATTTTTAATGGAGTGTGGAATGTCAACATCGTGATTATGTCATTTACTTCGAGTTTCATGTACTATACATTTTAGTTGTTGCTGCTGTTGAAAGTCCTCTAATGATATGGTTATTATTTAGCACAACTCTGTATGACATCAGTCTATAAAATTCCAAGCAGGATGGCTCTCAATAAGAACTACAGGCTTCATTCGTTCGAGGCAATTTTTAATTATTGATCTGAGAAAGCGGTTATATACAGTTGATAATTTAGATGTTTCAGAACGAAATGGACCTATGCATACACATGAAAGTCTCGATATGACGAGGCTATTTAAGAACGTGACTCGAGTTTTTAAGTTAATGTTTAGGGGTAATTTCGTGTATTGTGTGTAACTAACACTGACGTAGACAAATGTGATTAGAAAGAAGAGAACAAAAGACGGATTACAGACCGTGTCAGTGAAATGAAAATTAGAAGAATAAAAAGGCTTGAAATAGTTACGTGTTTCACTACTGAGGTTACATAAATATCAAGCTGAGTTTCAGTGGGGGGAGGGGTAGACAGGTGACTCCACTTGAATGATTGAAGCAACACAATCTTCCAGGCCTTATTTTGGTCTTGCAACGTATTAAGTTCAAACTGGTACTGCGAATTAACTCACCTCTCTAAAACTTCTCTCTGTTAAGTTTTAATCTCCCACCTTCTCTCGTCTGTTACCCCTCTCTTTAGCTCTAACATTCGTCCCACACTCTCATACTTACACTCTCTCTAAATTCTATTTTTTATTTCCGGAGTTGTTTTTACTGTTTTCTTTTTGAATTTGGAGGTCTGGTGAATTGGATCGTATTTACGATTCCAATGAAATAAATTATGACCATAGAATATTAGTGTTTAAGCCTTTTTATTATATCCTTACTCTGTCCTGGACATTGAGTTCTACCTGGATTTTATCCTCTTGGAATTTTTTTATTCAAAAAAATATATATGTATGTGTATGCATCTATGTATATATATATATTTTGCATATGTATGTATATATTTACCACTAATATTATCTATCATATATGAACCTAAAGAGCCAGGTAAAGCTACCTAGGTTTCACCTACACGAGAGAGAGATAGGGAGCGTGTTATAGCATGATCAACAATCTGAACAAATGCCGAGTGGTTAGAAGGTTCGCTTTCTGACCACGGGACCCGTGTTCGAATATCACCATGGTTGATTTGTCAGTAAGGAGACTTCCTGATGTTATCGGCCTGAAGGGGGACGATCCCAGCGTACGGCACCTTTGGAAAGTGCCTGACAACCATACCACAGGTTGACCCAAGCCTTGTGAGTGAAATTGAGTCGACAGAAATCTTGGGGGACCGTCGATAGCTGTGCTAGCACGAAGTCACAAGTCATCATGACTGAGGGTTTGAGTGTGCTGGCGTTGTTCAGATTGTTGATCATGCTATAACACGCTCCCTCCCAGAAATTGTAACTAAGGTCTGCTCAGCATAGTTGAAGTATAAACCACAAGTTGGCTCTGCGGGTGTTGGACAAACACAAATATGCTTGAGCGAGCGTCTGCAATATGTATTGTCTAGCCGCCCTAATAGACGAGTATCAACGAATACGGTTGGCCAGATATCTATCTATAGTCCAACAATTATTTTAACATATTTTCTGCTTATACGTTATTTTTACAGATACAAATATTTAAGTAAATTCTGTTTATAATAAACAGTATTAACAACATTTACCGGCCTGGATATCCGAAAAATTTTATAATAAATGTATACTCCGTCAGGAATCAAATCTGTATCCTACACGGGACCGTCATATAGTCTGACGTGCTATACCATTTAGATACAGAGGAGGCAAGATCAAATTACTGATTTTAAACTACAAATTTCCACTGAATTCTCTCGAATGCTCATATCTGCGCGAAGTGTGTCTTAACGCAAACAAATGACATCATATATTATGAAATGGAATTTATTTTCTGTTTATACGTTATTTTTATCAATACAAATATTTAAGTAAATGCTCTGTTTGTTATAAACAGTATTACCAACACTTACCGGCCTGAATATCCGAGAAA